ACCTCTTCTCTTCGCCATCTTCTTCTTTTATACAGCTATTTAGACCTGTTTTATTCTGCTAATCACTAAGTTTAAACCTGATATTAGAGGACTGATTTACATCTTGGTATCAGAGCAGGTTTAGTTCCTCTTCCTTCTTTTTCTTCGTTTCTGTACACTCTAAAATCAAGTGAGTGTATGGAGAGATAGGTTCTCTATAGTATAGAGAATCACTTGCCTAGTTGGTCGAAGGGTTTGGAGAGTTTAGTTTTGGCTAGATTTTGCTAAGAAGTGTTGATGTTCTGCTGTTGCCCGAAACCCTAGCCGACTAGAGATTTTCGAAGTTACCAGGAAAGGTGAAGCCTGGGTGTGGCGCTTTGTGCTTGGAAGGTGTCTTGTGACTGCTAAAGGAGGGCGGTTCAGGTTTGGAAGAGTTCTGGTTAGTCTGGTAGGTGCTGCAGCATCTTCTCTCTTTCTCCCATCTGCTAGACGGAGCAAAACCCTAGTTTTTCAAGCACCCGAGTTCTGGTTTGGCTTCAAGTAAGTTTACATAGTCAAAACTTCTGTTATTTGATTTCCGTTTGGTTAATGGAGACATACGGAAGTGAGTTCAAGTAGGTGCCGGTTTCTGGACCTGCCTCAGTAGATTCCGTTTTGACTGGTGTTACCACAATTAAGCTAGATGGGACAAACTATCTTGCTTGGGCACAGTCTATAAAAACCTACGTTTGTAGTAGAGGAAAACTCGGGTATCTTACAGGCAGTAAGGTAAAACCTGAAGAGACAGACCCTGAATTTGAAAATTGGATGCAAGAGAAGTACACTGTTATAGGATGGTTAGTTAACTCTATGCAACCCCATATAAGCCAACACTATCTCTGGATGTTTTCGGCTAAGGAGATATGGAACAGTGTAATTGAGACCTACTCACAAAAACTGAATGTAGCCAGAGCGTACAAATTGAAAAGTGATGTGAAAAACCTGAGATAGGGGGAGAAGAGTGTAGCAATCTACTATTCTATACTAAAATCCCTATGGCAGGAAATTGATGTTATGGAGACAGTGGTATGGGAGAGTAAAAATGATGCTGAAATGTATAGAAAGCTGGTGGAGAGAAATAGGGTGTTTGAGTTTCTCACTGGACTCAACCCTGAGTTTGATATTATCAGACAGAATATTTTGGCCAGGGATGAGGTTACTCTTTTACAGGCATATGTTATGATAAGTAGTGAGGAGAGTAGGCGGCAGGTTCAGTTGCAGAGTCCACCTACAGAACATTTTGCACATGCGGGAGTGAAACCAAAGGGCCCTACTGAGAAGAGAGAGCAGGTGTGTGAATATTGCAAGAAACCACGACATACAAAGGACATTTGCTAGAAGCTTCATCCTGGACTTCTCCCTGATAGGTTTAAGAACAATAATAACCCTAAGAAGGGCAGTTAGGTGGGAAAACCCAAGAATGCTAATGCTGCTACAATACCTGAAGGGGGAAGTAAGGAGAGTGAAGAGAAGTCAACCATTGAACAGTTGGTTGCAATGAAGCTGGATTTTGAGAAGTATGGGAGGCTCCTAAATCACCTGGAAGCTACAGTTTCTTCAGCTCACCCTTCCAACAGTACATCATCTTCATCGGCTTTTGCTCACTCAGGTACTCGTGCTTCTACAAATCATGCTTCAGCTTCAGATAATCATAA